GACAGCCAGAGAAAATGAATGGGAAGATTTTTCTGTGTTTATCACTGACCTTATTGAGGACTCTGGACAAGCTAGGCCAAATGTGGCATGTGGTCTGCATTAAATATTGCATCCTGCTCTCTCAGGAGCCCATTTCAAAGACAGCAAAATGGAGACACAGAGAGGTAAAGCAATCCCAGCTGACTGAGCTATGCTGTCTGTCTAAAGACTGTACTTTTCCTTGACCAAGAAGGCTCATTTTTCTGTGCTCCATTGGAGAGATGGCAACTCATTAAAGAGAAGTTCAAAATAGAAGCGACAGAGTAGGGAAACCACACAAAATCTCCCTCCAATCCTGAGGCACCAGGATGCGGCTCCCCGTGCTTTCCACTTTATCAGGCAGGATTTTTTTTTCCATAGCCAAGCATTTGATAAGCTGTAATCTTCTCTGAATTGTATAAAAAGATTGAGCATCATCCACCGGTGCACCCCAATCTCATAGTCTCTTAAAAAGATGTGCATAGTACTAGGCAATGCTCCCCTTGGGTTATTCACAAATCATTGGTTATCATAAGTGGTGCTGTGACAACAGCCCTAGGTTTGAAGCAAGCAGGGCGGGATTCTTAAAACTCCATTCTGTTAAGTGAAATTTGCTGGTTAAAGCTAATGAATATGTAAAAGGTGCTTGATTTTCACAGGGCCGAGAATTTTTTCAGAGGCTAGCTTGCAATGACTTTTGCCACCATCAGCAAGCACACATTCAGGTTGCCCAGAGAGCATCTCTCTGGGATGCTTTACACCAGCAAAAGCCCTCTTTTCTACTGAGGTAAAGCACCCTGAAGGTGTCCTCCCTTCTCCAAAGTGTGCTTGATCCTCAGAACCAAATCTTAGCCTTGTTGTGGATGTCCTTTAGGATCATGAGCTGGCTTCAACAGAATCCTGTGAACAAACTGAGACCACTCTGAGCCCCGTGGTGCTCAGTTGGCACTCAGAGATGTCTAAATACAGAAGGAGGCCACACATTTATGAGTGTATGCATTTCCAATTCACTGTCTGGCACACAGAAAGTGCTGTTAAATGCCAGCTGACTGAATGGATGACTCTAGTATTTAGTTTATTGAGGAATCTGCCAGGGAGAAAGTCCTCTGCCTGAGCAAACAATTTCAATTCCTCAGGTGCCCTTAGGTCATTCATTCAAAGTGTATGCGTTTGTTAAATACCTACTGTGCTCCAGAACCTGTACTGGAATAACACTGAATGTCTATTCCTGAGAGCCTAAAGTTCTGTTCACCCTCTGTCCCCAAGAGCCACCAGGGGAGAGCCCTTCCCTAAGGTGTGAGCAGAGTTACTGTGGGTGCTCAGAGGAGTGGCTGCTGTTCTGCTCTCTTGGGCGCAGTTGAGGGCCCTCATGAAGCTCAGTATGGCTATAAAGAGACAGCTCTGTTCTCTGTCTTCCCTGCTCCTGTCCTACTCTGGGACTTCAGGATTTATGTCCTCAACATACCCAAGACTCTGCATTTACTCCACACAATGAGCACAGGGAGCCATTTTAAGAATTCTCAAACACTGTGTGTAAGAGCTCTTTCCTTGAGCCAGGAGTGGTGGTGCAGGCCTTTAGTCCCAGCACTCCGGAGTCCCAGGCAGGAGGATCACGAGTTCAAGCTTGGGATACACAGTGAGATTCTGTCTCCAAACCACAAAACACAGAATTCCTCCTATAATCAAAGATGCCTGGCCAGTCCACAAAGGTACACCCACCCCAGCAGCTTTATCAAAAGTAGGGTGCTCAGACATAGACCCCAGGATCAGCGGGCCCACAACAAAAGCTAGCATGATAAAATTCTTACACCACAACTCTCAATGATTATTCTCCAGTACTATGCTAGTCCATCCTCCTCTCCTCCATCTTCTCTTCCCACTTTCCTCATTTACCCATCCTTCTCTCCCACCTCCTCTTTTGCGATTGTACAAAGATGCACATGAAAGAATTAAAAGCAACAAATAGTTCTGGGACTTTGTTACAACACAGGAACGGTCCCTTCCACTTCCCTCCCCACTTCTGTATCTCAGACTGTAGCTGCAGCACTGAACTCCATGCTGCGGATAAACTCTCTGCCTCCAAGGTTTTCACTTCAGGCTGCTGTTCCTCCTGCTACTGAAAATGAGCTTTTGAAGGGCTTTCTCCTTAGTCCTTCAGGTACACTCATCTTTCCTTTTTCCTTGATGAAGTAGCATTAGTTTTATTAGTATTAATAATTGGGACTAGGTCTCACTTGTAGAGTGGACACCGGAGCCACTTTTTTAGTCCTGACAAATTTTGAGGGACCCACCTTTCTTTTTTGTTCCTCTATTATAGGAGTAGGAGGATAGCCTTATCAGGCCCACCAAACCCCACCATTTAACTCTATCTTTAAGGGTATTCCCCTTACTCAGTCCTTCCTAGTGATACCAACCTGTCCCATCCCATTGCTGGGAAGGAACCTTTTAGCTAAAGTGGGGGCCTCTTTTTTTTTTTTTTTTTTTGCTCTCCCTATGTGCATGGCCCCAGGTTCACAAGCCTTTCGCCTTTTCGTTCTCCTCCAAACCACACAATCTGACACACTTCTTCCCTTACCATCCTCTCAGGTTGATCCTCAGGTATGGAACACTCAAAACCCCTCTATAGCCAAACACCACACCCTACAAAACCCTGCCCAATATATAATCAAGTCTCAATACCCACTATCACTCCCAAGTATCAGGGGACTTAAACCTCTTATCTCTGACCTCCTGAGAAAAAAATCTGTGCCCCACTTCTTCCTTCCCCCTTTAATACCCCCATACTTGCAGTCAAAAAGCCCAAGGGAGCCTACCACCTGGTTCAGGATCTCCGACTTATTAACTCAGCAGTAGTTCCCCTTCATCCTGTGGTACCCAATCCTTATACTCCTCTCTCCACCATCCCTTCAAAAACTTCTCATTTCTCTGTCCTTGACCTCAAGGATGCCTTCTTTTCTATTCCTCTGAACCCCCAGTCACAGAATATCTTTGCCTTTACTTGGACTGACCCAGACACACACATTTCTACCCAACTAGCTGATAATGCAGCTAGAGCTGTGTGACTCTCAAGGGCCTGGGTCCCCATCACATGCCACAAGGCACTCTCATTTTATAACCCATAAGTTCATCACCACCTCCCAATATTCATCAAATCTTATCCTATCTGCACCAGATCTTTCACCCTAATAGTCAGGCTCTTTCTCATTTTATTAAAACCTATTTACAGCCTACCTCTAAAGATCTATGCTATCTGAAGACTATCACTATTTCTTGTAAAGTCTGTCAAACTTCCAAGCCTACCTTCAGGGATTTTTATGCTCTCAACAATTCCGTGGGGACACAGGGTTTATACAGTTTTTCCAGGGGGGGCAGGGATTGGTCAAATTTGAATACCTGACCTGATTGGCTAGCTCTCTGTTGAGGTATTGGTTAGTTTTCTGCATAGGCTCAGGGCCAGCTTGGGCTCTAGTTTCAGGGCCAAAGTGTGTTTCTTTTACTGGTCTTTTTGTCTTTCTGGCTCTAGTTTTAGGGCCAGGATGTATTTCTTTCACTGGCTCTGATTCTAGGGACAAAGTGTGTTTCTTTGGTACTAGTTTCAGAGTCAGGGTACATTTATTTGGTTCTGGTTGCTGGGCCAAAATGTGTCTCTTTGGCTCTGCTCAGGGTGTGTTTCTTTCACTAGATCCTTTTCCCTACAGGCAGGAAGATTAAGGTCCCCCACAGAGGCAGAAATGCTCAGCTTTTACTTAAAGCCCAGTATCAGCACTGGCTGCCCAAGAGGAAGACAGCCCTGCAATACACTGATTTCAAAGGGCAGAAAGAAAGAGTGGACTCACTCCCACCTCAAAAGGAGGCCAATTCTGGGTCCCTGCTGACCTCATGTTCGAAGAGCCCGTTTAGTCTTCCCTTTTTCCATTTGATTGTTTGGAGTGTGACACTCATGTGGAAGGTCTTCCTGTGTGTCTGGCAATCCTTCTTGTTATACATCTGGCTGGGAACTGGAATAGGGGCTTAAAGACTCTGAGCCAGATTCTAGGGTGTCCCAGGCAACTCCTGATGTCACAATCTCTTCTCTAGTCTCAGTCACGTTCTTTTGAAGTCACCCCCAAACACCTTTGGATAGAGAAGCCAAGACCAGCTGCCAGACCTGCACTCTACCAATGGTACAGAATGGTGGACTGGCAGTGGTCATGGTCCGTCTCCACTCAGGCAACATGGTGGTCTGCTGTCTGCTGGGAATGTAAAGACAGTATCAAAGCTGTTCAGCCTTTTGTTGTCCCCAACACACTTCAGCTGCTAAGCAACACCATAACAAGTTCTCATCCACACTGCCACCCATCAGCATCCTACTGAAAGACCTAAAAATTAGCAAAGAAATATAGCCCAGATAAGGAAACTCTCCAAACTGAATGTAGGGCAGCCTAATCCAGAAACTAAGGCCACTACTATGACTTAGGGCCTGGAATTTACCAGCTTACAAGGCCATAAGATAACTGGGTGCCAAGAATTCCCAGATGGCCACCCTCCCCGAGGGGCTCATGGAGGAAACAGATCACCCCACTGGCAAATGAGTCAATAATTAACAATTAAGGGTCCCTATGAAACAAATATGTACCATTTGCTCAAGCAAGATAAGCATATCCTGAGGTCTGCAGGTTTTACAACTGGTGGGTCAGGAGGCCATCTGATTCCCAGCCCTCTCCTCAAGACAAAGAGCCTCCTAGGAACCCATGACTCTGGTCATGCCCCTCCCCAAGCTTGTGGTTTTTGACTTTAAAAACGCCTGTGCCTGGGGGGACGGGGCTGCTCTCTAGCCTGCATGCTGAGAGAGCCCGTTTGTACAAACGTTCACCTTATATTAAAGCCTCTTGCTGTTTGCATCAAGTTTCCACTTCCTCATGGTGATTGGGGTGGTCATGGTCCTGGGAAAAAGTTCTGAAGGCCTGAGCTTCTGGGGGTTCTTACACTACCAGCAGCGTTACCTGTGGATAATGTGGTACCTCTGCAGGTACTCCAGAGCCAGGGCCAGCTCGCAGATGTACAGTTTCACAGCTCCCTCTGTGAAGTGCACATTCTGCTGTAGGTGGTAGCGCAGGTCTCCGCCCAGCAGCAGGTCCACCACCATGAACATGTCTTCCTCATCCTGGAAGGAGTACCTAGGAACACAAAGGGACACAGGTTAGGGCTGGAAGCATCGCTAATGTCCTCAGGGTCAACATTCCATTTTCCAGCAAGGCATCCAGAAGGATGCTGATATTGCCTACGGCATGATGCTGTCGTTGGTGAGAGAGCAGAAGGTTTTCAATCCCACACTGCCTCTGTAGTGTGGAGTCACTTCATTTCTTCACTGAGGCAAGTTTGAGTCCCAACATTAATCTCCCATCTGGCAGGCAGACAGCCTGTGATCTGGCTGGACTCTCATGCTATTGCAGCTGGTTTTAGCTTGTGTATTAATCCCATGCTGTTAAAGCATGTATCTGGGAGGTTCCTCAAAGACCCATGTGTTGGAATCTTGGCTGATGGGGAATGTACTTCTTTGTATGTTTATCTTATTGATTACTGAATAAAATACTGTTTGGCCAATGAGACAGCAAGTTAGACAGGATAGGAGTCAAAGAGGATTCTGGGAAATGTAGTAGAGAAGCAGTGATCCAAGCAGGAAGTGACATAGCAAGGAGACTCATATTTAAACAAAGGAAACAGGAAGTGTCCCCTTTTCCCTTTCCGCTCTTCCTCCAGCGGCCCAATGTGATTTACCTGCAAGGAGGGACGCCAATAAGGTGTCTGATAAGTCTTATAAAATATATAGATTTATGATAATTGAGACTGAGCTAACAGATGAGAATCCTAGTCATTGGCCAAGCAGCTTTATACCTAATATGTCTCTGTATTATTTTGTCCATCCACACGGCGGGGCAGAACTCAGGCAGCTGGAGGAAACCACCCACATGGTGGTAGGGCTCTGGCAGAAAGACTTTTCGTGACACTTGGCAGTCAGCCTGTGGCATGATTGGAAGATGGTGGAACTTTAGGAAGTGGAGCCAAATGGAAGGATGTTACCCTATTAAAACAGCCTTGCAACCACAGACTGAAGTCTCTGAGACACTGAACCAATAAAAAGCCCTTCTTCCTTTAAAGTTGATCAGCTAGCGTATTTTGTCACAGCAATGGGAAACTGATTAACACATACTGTAAGGACTCCAAAGAGTCCCCAGCTCCTAAGAGGAGTCCTTCTCCCCAGCAAAACCCACGCCCTCTGCACACGATGCTGCTCCCCACAGGAAGTTCATTCCCAGATTCCCTGAGCACAGTGATGCTCTAACTCAAGTCCAGGAATTTAAGGTAACAGGCAGTTTTTGCTCCTGGCTCTTGGAATCTGGCCATATCTAACCCAATATTCACTAGCCAGTGGTAACAGCCAAGTTCCCACTGACAGCTAACTTCAAGACCAGCCATGTATGACCACCCTAGGTGTGAGGTTACTCTAGCTATAAGCCCACAGGAAAGTGGGCACGGAACATGAGCAGGAATTATCTTGGTGTTTTGAAAGACTTGACTTTAGGTCTTAGTGCAGTATTTAATTCTATCTTTGTTTTATCTTTGAACTGAGAGAAAGCTTACTGAACTCGTTTTTAAACATGAGAATAGAAGAGCTAGCACATACAATGTGAGAATGCTCAATACCTTCAGAGACGGACTCACAGCATAGGGCATGACAGACCACCCTATACCAACAGGTATAGAGCTTGCTGATAGCTGTCATTTTCCCTCTTCTTATAATGCCTTCACAGTGATTATATCCACAAACTCATTTAACCTTTAATTACTTCCCAAAGGCCTGGCTTGTGAATACCATCCACATATGACTTTGAAAATTAAATTTCCCACACAAGAGTTTTGGGAACATATTCACACCAAACATAACTAGAAAAGCCACTGAGTGTGTGTGTGTGTGTGTGTGTGTGTGTGTGTGTGTGTGTGTGTGTGTGTCTCTGTTTATCCTACAGTGTGGAAGGCCTTAGAAGTCCAAAGACAATAGCATGTCTTCCATGTAAACTCAGTTTACATTCTAGTAGATGATGAACCATGGCCCGTCACATTCATAGCCAGTGTGCCCCACACGCTGTACTCTCCAGTCACTGCTGGGCTGTCAAAGGGAAGCTCATTAAACATTCTAGCAGAATCCTTGTGAGAAGTGATATTAGTTTTCTGGGAGAAGCTTGCAGACTGGGACAAATGTTAAGGAGACAACTGAAATACAGAGAGAACACCATTTAATCAGTAATTCAAGTTTGGGTTGTTTCTTGCTACAGATCTGTATTTTGCTCTGGGCCACAAACCCTGCTTTCCCAAGGAGACTCAAAGATATTGCTGAGAACACAGAGTGACCTTTCATCAATCTCTGCTTTTGTGTGATTCTGTGGCTCTGTGTCATTGTCCTTCTTGCTCCTTCTTGCACTAGAGTGGTAATTATACCCTCATCACGATGCTGCATATTGTCATGGAAATGATGGAGGTGCTAGATGAGAGAGTGCTCTCATACAGTGACACTGACCTTCTGAGAAGTCTGGATAATTAGGTTCTCTTCCAAGCACAAAGCTAGCTGGGAGGTGTAAAGACATTGTTAATCCTGGCTTGGCTGCTGCATAGGCCAGTGTGAAGAATACATTGTTAGTGTGTGTGCAGGTCCTTGTACCCACGTGTGCACATACATATGAAAACTAGAGATGAAAACTAGGTGTCATTCCTCAGGTGTCCTCCTTTGTCTCAGTTTTGAGACAAATTCTCTTATTATTTTGGAGCTTGCTGATTAGGCTAGATTGGCTGGCCAGCAAGTCCCAGGGACTCCCACTCTTCACTCCCCAGGGCTGGGATGACAAGTGGGCACCGTCACACCTGGCTCTTTTTCATTGTTCCTTGGGATGGAGTACAGGTTCTCCTACTAACACAAGTTTTCCTGCCAACTGAACCATTGTCATAGTTATATACTACTTTATTATTGTTGTTGTTAAATATATTAATTTCCCACTTTGCTCCAAATGACTTAAGAAATTCACAACACAACAAAATTAAAAATAAAAAGAGAAAAAATAAGAAGCTTAAGAAAATGGGGGTTGGAGAGATAACTCAACAGCTAAGATCACTGGCTGCTCTTCCAGAGGACCTTGCCTCAATTCTCAGCACCCACATGATCCTTAACTGACTGTAGCTCCAGTTCCAGGATATTTGGTACCTTCTTCTGGCTTCTGAGGGCACTGCACACACACAACACATGGTCATACATGCAGGAAAACTAATAAAGTAATTTTTAAAAATTAAAAATGTAATAAAATAGAGGTAGACAAAAACTCCCCTAACTCATGCCCAAGGTTACTTTTGCCTTGCTTAAAATGGTCTTAAAATGCATGAAACCTCCCCAGAACCCAGGCCAAAAAGAAACATGGACATGTCCTGACAGGTAAATAGATGAACAGCTGAGGAGAAACATGTTTTGTTTTCTTTTAACTAACCCACAATTTCACTTAACTACAAGCTATGGTGTGACAGTTGATAATGTAAACTGATCAAATCAGGGCATTTGCATGTCTGCCATAGCAGACATCTGCCATTTCTGTGTTAGAAGCAGAAGTAGTCTCTTCTGGCTATCTTGAAATGGACGATGAAAGGCATGCATTTTTCTTGGTACAGAAACCAGATGGAAAAGGCTCCCACTGAGTTTTTAATGTGGTAAACAGTACATCTGTGTGAATTCACCCCAGCTGGCATGACAAGTTAAAAAAGAATGTTTTAAAATTTGTCATCTGTCCAGTTTGACTGGATGAGTTCAGTCCTATTTGTTAGGTGTAGCCTTGCTTGGGTCGTATAACCTGCGAGCTGTGCTCCACTCCCCATCATAAAGAACCACCTGTCTCTGAACATGCCCGCAGTGCTGAGGCTGGAAACCACAGGCTGGGATCATGCTTGCTCTGGAGGAAGCCTTCTCTGACCCTCAGAGGCTGAGCAGTGTGACTGCCGAGTGCTCTGTAATAGCAACAGCTTAGGCTGGTATGGCACAGGTGAGGCAGCATCCATATTCTCAAATACTTTGAAAACCCTCTGTTCTTCCAACCAGCCTATGGGGTAAGGATCAAGATGAAGCTCTTCTGTGGCTGGAGTATAGAATCCCCTCCATAGGTTTGTGTGAACACTTGCTCCCCAACTGAGGAGGGTGTGAAACCATTGAGACACCACAGAGAACATCTGATGCTAAAGGTAGCCATTAAAGGTTACACCCCCTCCAGTTCCAGGCTAGCTCTCCCTGGTTGGCTCTCCCACCCCAGGTGTCTGCCATGCCTTCTCCATCATGATGGACTGAAGCCCCTGAAACCTTGGGCCCAAAGAAATTGTTTTATGTTGTTTTTAAAATCTCAGGGTCTCTTAAAGCTCAAAGATATTAAGTAACCCTAAAATGATACATAGAGTCAGGAAGGGGTAGAGCTGAGAGCTAAACCATGACAGAGGGTCCACCTCCAGGACTTCCAGACCATGCCTGGTACTCTGGACTCCTCTGTTCACCTCCCTGTGACTGTCTCTCCTTGTCTTTCCCCCTCTACTAGCCAGTGAACTCTGTTAGTACAGGGGCCTGCCGCATTCAATTCTGGGTCCTTGTATCTGGCCTGGCTCCAAAGCATCATACATACTCAGGAAGCAGCAGATAACAAACTCCCTAAGTGAGTCATGTCAGCAAGCTATGTGGTCCATGGGAAAGGAAGCTGTGCAGAGAGAAGGATGAGGAAGAAGGTTGTGTCAAATGTGGAGCATGCCATTCCTGTAGAATCCTACAGGAGCACACCCCCCCCCCCCCCACCCCCCTGCCTTGTTTCCCCCCAAAAGAAGCCAGTGTGAGCTACTTCCCTAGCATCTCCCCACAGCCCTCCCACTCAGCCCAGGAGGCAGGGGTGACCTGACAGTGAGCATAATTAGGAAAAAAGAGGCCTTGCTTGGCATCATCCTCTATTCCCTCACCATTTCCTGGACCATCTGCACATGTCTACATCCTGCCTCCTGTCTTCCAGGCTAGTACCTGGCCCCTGGAGTGGATCTTGTGCAACCATCATTTCCTCAGGTGCTGGTAAGTCCATGTCAGAGTTCTCTAGGATGTAGGTCTAAAGCTATC